CAAACTCGGGTCCATGCTTAGAGTTCCAACGAACTTTCACGATCGGTATTTTACTTCGTTTTATTTGCTTAACCTCTCGATCGAGAATTTCTACAGGTTCCTCCACGAACTTTAGTTGATCATTAATTTGGAGGTCCCCGAGAGGTATGTGTAGGGGTTCCTCCGCCAAGCACTTTTTGAGGTTTGACACATGGAATGTGTCGTGTATCGCACTCAGTTCATCTGGTAGCTTTAATTTATATGCCACTGGACCGACCCTATCGATAATCTCGAAGGGTCCTACATAACGGGGACTCAGTTTTCCTCTTTTACCAAAACGCACGATTCCTTTCCATGGGGATACTTTTAAGAGTACTTTGTCTCCTATTTGAAATTCCAAAGGTTTCCTACGCTTGTCAGCATAGCTCTTCTGGCGATCGCGGGCAGCTTTCAGTCTATCACGTATTATCGAGATCTTCTCAGTGGTCTCTTGAATTAAATACAGTCTCGTTAACTGCCTATCGCGGATTTCCAGCCAACATAGTGGGGAGCGACATTTACGCCCGTACAAGGCCTCATAGGGGGCGCATTGTATGATGGTATGGTAGCTATTATTATAGGAGAACTCAACTAATGGCAAATGGTTATCCCAACTTCCTCCAAAGTCGATCACGCAAGCCCGGAGCATATCTTCTAACGTCTGGATGGTTCGTTCACTCTGACCGTCTGTCTGGGGATGATATGCGGTACTTAAGTCTAAACGAGTCCCCAAGGCTTTTTGAAGCGACTGCCAAAATCGAGATGTAAAACGGCCATCTCTATCCGATATGATGGAAATAGGTACTCCGTGACGTACTACGATCTCATCTATGTAAATTCGAGCAAGCCGTTCCATTCGGTAATCTTCCCGAATGGGAAGAAAATGTGCAGATTTCGTCAGTCTGTCCACCACTACCCAGATAGATTCGTGTCCTTTCACGGTCCTCGGTAGCTTAGTAACAAAATCCATGCATATTTGCTCCCATTTCCATTGAGGTATTTCTGGTTGCTGAAGCAAACCGGAGGGCTTTTGATATTCAGCCTTCACTTTAGAGCAAGTTAAACATTTCCCAACATACAAAGCAATATCTTTCTTCATTCCAGGCCACCAATAGTATTCCTTTAGATCCAAGTACATTTTGTCGGCTCCTGGGTGGATCGAGTATCGGGAATTATGGGCTTCCTTTAAAATTACCTCACGCAATTCGTAGATCTTTGGTACCCATACTCTATTTTTAAAGTACTTCACTCCATCCGAACCTGTTTCAAATCGTTGTTCTAGACATTGCAATGTTTCACATTTCAAGTTCTCAGTCTTTAATGCTTCGCCTTGAGCAGCAAGGATTTCGTCCTTCAAACTGGTTTGAACAAGGGCTCCGAAGGCATGAGCTCGTGAGGGTTTCACCCTTTCCTTCCTACTCAACGCATCGGCTACAACGTTGGCCTTTCCTGGATGGTATTTAATTTCGCAATCATAGTTGTTGAGTAATTCTACCCACTGCCTCTGTCTCATGTTAAGCATCTTTTGATCCAAGATGTGTTGTAGGCTTTTGTGATCAGTATAAATAGTGCACTTAGTTCCGTACAAGTAATGTCTCCAGATCTTAAGGGCGAATACCACCGCTCCTAATTCTAGGTCGTGGGTTGTGTAGTTTTTCTCATGAGCCTTCAACTGCCTTGACGCATATGCAATAACCTTGCCTTTATGCATCAGTACGCAACCCAGACCTTGGTGTGACGCATCACAATACACTGTGAAGTTCTCCACACCATCTGGCAATGCCAAGACTGGCGCATTACACAACTTATGTTTTAGCAATTGGAAGGCATCTTCTTGTGGTTCTTCCCATACAAATTTCCTATCCTTTTGGGTCAGAATAGTCAATGGCTGGGCAATTTTGGAGAAGTTCTCAATAAAGCGCCTATAATAGCCCGCCAATCCGTGAAATTGCCGAATTTCCGTCGGGGATCTTGGGGTTTCCCATTTCTTAATTACTTCAACTTTGGTGGGACCCACGTGTATTCCTTTTTCTCCAACCACATGACCAAGGAATCGTACTTCCCTAATCCAAAATTCGCACTTAGAGAACTTTGCAAACAACTTTTGGTCTTTCAACAGTTCCAACACTAGCCTGAGATGTCGTTCGTGCTCTTCTTTGTTTTGGGAATAGACTAGTATGTCATCAATGAACACGATAACAAACTTGTCAAGGTACGGCCTATAAATCCTGTTCATAAGATCTATGAAGGCAGCTGGCGCGTTAGTTAGCCCAAAAGGCATAACTAAGAACTCGTAGAGTCCGTAACGAGTTCTGAAGGCGGTTTTAGGAACGTCTTCGTCGCGTACCCTTATATGGTGGTATCCCGATCGTAAATCAATCTTTGAAAAGTATGAGGCACCTTGGAGTTGGTCAAACAAATCGTCTATTCGAGGAAGGGGGTATCTATTTTTGATAGTCGATTTATTTAGTTCTCTATAATCGATGCACATTCGCATTGATCCATCCTTCTTTTTCACAAATAAGACCGGTGCGCCCCACGGTGAGGAACTTGGACGAATGAATCCTTTTTCCAAAAGTTCCTGAAGTTGACTCGAAAGCTCTTGCATTTCAGAAGGTGCCAAGCGGTAAGGTGCTTTAGCTACAGGTGCCACCCCAGGAATTAGATCAATTATGAACTCGACTTGTCTTGTTGGGGGGGGGGGGTCCGGACAACTCTTCCGGGAACACTTCGGGGTATTCTCGCACTATTGGAATATCCTGAATATGTTTTTCTTCCGAATTCTTTTCCACTACATGAGCCAAGAACGCAAGGTACTTCTTCTTCAGATATTTGTGAATCTTCATGCATGAGACTATCTTCAGGTTCTTGCTTGGTTTCTCTCCGTACACTAATAGGGTTTCATTGTTTTGGAGGGGCATTTTGACAACTTTCTCAAAGCATCCTATGTCTGCTCGATTCTTGGATAACCAGTCCATTTCTACCACTACGTCAAAGCTTCCGAGTTCCATGGGTATCAGATCAATACTAAAATTTTTACCGGCTAAGTTCAAGGTATAATTAGGAACTATCTCCTTAGCCTTAATTTCATGGCCGTTAGCAAGTTCAATTATGTAAGCATGTTCCAACATTTTTGATTTCAAGTCGATTAGTGATCTAAATTCATGTGACACAAAACTTCTATCTGCCCCAGAGTCAAATAATACTGATGCATAGTGGTTGTTTAGGAGGAATGTACCTGTTACCACCTCAGGGTTCTGGCGGGCCTCTTCCGCCTTGATCACAAATGTTCGCCCACGAGCCTGACCTCCTGGATTTCCATGGTTGTTATGACCTACCTGGTTGTTGTTGGGGCCCTTGTTTAGATTCGGGCATGCATTCCTAAAGTGGTCCACACTTCCACACTCATAGCACGCCCGTTTACCACCCTTGCGATCGTTATCTATCCTGCAATACTTCGCGAAATGCCCAGATCGGTTGCACTTGTGGCAAATAGGGCAGGCACCCTCATGGTGATAGCTGCATTTCTCACACTTAGGTTTAGGCCCTCGGTATTGCACAGGTTCCTCTGTTTTAACCGCAAAGTTCGTTGCCCTTCTCTTGTTCCTTTCTGATTTGTCATTCTTCTTCCTTCCAATCTGGCTCTCCGGTTTTCTTTTGTTACTGGTGTTGCTTATGGTCAATATCCCAGCCCTCACTTTATCATTCGTAAGTCGGTGCGCCAGGTCTATAGCGCTATGGATTGAGGTAGGATTTGCTGAAGTAACCATGCCTCAGATTTCGGGTGCCAATCCCCATATGTATCGGTCGATCCTTTTACTCTCCGGGGTGACCATGTGCGGCACTAGTTCAGCGAGTTCATGGAAACGCACAGTGTAGCCTTCCACATTGGCTCCTACCATGGCATGGTTCCAGAAGTCAGATTCCATTTTCTGGATTTCATCCTTACGACAGTATTCCTTCTTGAGTAACTCTTTGAATTCCTCCCAAGCTAACTGGTTCGCCGCCTCCCTTCCACGGTTTCGGACTTGCGCATTCCACCATGTTAAAGCTTTGTCTTGTAGAAGGCATGCAACACAGGGAACCTTGCAGTCATTTGAGCATTTGCTGATGTGGAGTACGGCCTCTATTCCTTCTATCCATTTCAACAATCCCACCGCACCTTCTGTTCCGTGAAACTCCTTGGGTTTGCAAGACATGAAGTATTTATAGGTGCATCCCCTTGTTTCCTCATTACGAGTTTCGCTTCCATCCGTGTTCACAGTAGGTGTAGGGCCTTCGCGGTTTGTCTAAGTAGTATGGATTCCCGCAGTGACTTGAGCCACAATGTTAGGGATAACATCCATCAGTTGTTGTGAGACCAGTTGAGCAATATCGGGAGTGGCATTCTCAGGCTGTGTTTGGCGGGAGCGGGTGTTCCTTCTTGGGGGCATGGTTCTATAACACACAACAAAATTTAAGACGTTACCATCATAAAAAGAAAAATTCTCTCTTTTTGCAAGAAATAAATATAATAAAATATATTTTCAAGAAAGATTTCAAATCATCAAAACAATTTACAGTTTATGAACAATATAAATGCGAAATAACATGGAAATTGAAAGTCATTAAAATAGATTTTCATTCATAGTTTGTAAATAAAAGGTTTAACAAAGCATACTGCTTGGCACTGCAAGCTACAAAAGATACTTCAACCATACTTTTCAAAAGCCATAAGCCAAAGGCATTACATCAAAATACATAGACCAAAGACCATAAAACATAAACCATGATGCTTTGATTCAACCCCAAAACACAATCACCCAGACAAGTGCCACTGCCAGAATCAATGCTAGCCCTCCAGCGATAGCGCTAGTGATCATAGCTTTGATTGTTGTCCTCTGGGCGGAGTATGCATAACCACACACCGCATCCACCACGTCTGACATGTCGGCTATGCTGTGATGATGATAAGCAATCCTACTACGGGCATCATGTAGGTCTCAGGCCATGGCCTCCATGCTGCGTCGCTCCTGACAAGTCATCCCGGGTGCTCGCATATAAGGCGTCCCTATGACTGGGGGTCGAGGCTGACTAGGCTCGTGACGCTCACTCCTTGGTGCGGGAGGTGCTGGCACGGGTTCTGGATGCTCGAACCTCAACACTTCTCTCGGCATTGGTGCGCTCTTTCTCGCTGTCCTCCTGTGGTATAGTCCATAAAGGGGTGGCCGAGGTGTCAACTGTCGCGAAGGCTCGGGTATCGGCGGGGCTGAAGTTTCCTCAGTCGGTGCCTGGCTGCTCACTTCCTCTCCAGTCTCTGATCCTGTAGACGGATCTTCAGTCGGTTCGGTGCTCGAGTCGCGGTTGACTTTCGGGCGCGCAGTGACGTAACCAGACTCATCTGCCGATCCAAGTGCTTGAGAGCTAGTGTTTGACATGGCTACGCTGTACACTAGAACTCTAATGTTTAGATGAATTTTTAGCCTTCTAGAAAATTTCTATTATGTTTGATGTTTATGTTTATCCTAGGGTGTTGATACCATTCACTATAATCAATTCCGGTCTTGCACTAACTCTTCCTTAATTATACATAGGTGATCAGGCTATGTATAATTAAGGTCCAGTAGCGCATTACCAAAATTACTTATACTAAATGGCATGTTTTATTAACTCAGTGGTTATAGTTTAGGCGTCCCTAAGGGAAAGGGGAAGCCGGTATTCTCTATAACCTTAGGCTCTGATACCAAATCTGTCACACCCCGTTAAAGCGGAAACACGAAGAGTGACAGGCTAAGGTCTCATCACAAAGGTAAATAGAAGTACCAACCATAAACATTAAGCATTTTAAGTTTACATCGCGTACAAAACAAATACATTCAGTTTTCACAATACATAATTTAATACATAGCAAAGGTAACAACTTAAATCATGCTAACGTCTTGTTGATTCACTGACCGTTCCCTGAAAAGCATGCAAAAACGAGGGTCAACTATAAAATAGTTGGTGAGTTCACAGGTTTATAATAATACATTATTTCAAAAATGTAGTTTATTCTATAAATGTTCCAATTTAGAAGACGATGAATGCCATTGCATTCCGTTCACAACCAAGCCTAACGACCGTTCCTGCCCCATTCCATTTATGTCCATGGTTCCCATGATGTCACTTCATGGAAATATGCACTCGCGGTTCCGGGCGAGTGGGGGCTGTCGACCCCAAATAGCGCTATCCATAAGACCATCGGCTCAAATATGAGTTAATAGGTCGTATCGGTTCTCCGGGGACTTAATCATACAAGTTCATAACACCAAATTCATAATACAAGTTCATACAACAAAGTTCATATCACAAATTCATAGCACAAGTTCATAAAATAATGTTCATAGATATTGTGGCATGCTTTCCACCCCAAAACATTAAAAACCGAAAATAGGGGAGTGCGTGAATACTCACTCTGGAAAGTTTGCGGCTCGGGCTTTGCGGGTTGATGTTGGTGAGTGCGAATCCTAATAGCGTCCTACGGAACAAATAGTCTCTAGTGAGATATAATTCACTAAACCATTATCTAAGTCTACTTATCCTACTAGTGGTGTCATTAAGTGCCCAAAGTTTGTTTGGTTCATTATTAGTATTATTGAATTCATGGTGTCTTACATTCAAAAAAAAATTCATAAAGGCATGAAAATGAACTCCAAAAATTGTAAAACTTTATATTGTGTTTCTACAGGAGGGTATTAGTGTCCATATATTTTATAGACATTTTTGATGGTCGTTTTATATTTATTTGTAATTTAGGATCAAATAATATAGAAAATCCAAATAAATTGGTAAACAGTTTCTAAAATTCCCAATTTAATTTTTACAGGTTCTTATAATGTTCCTAAGGTTGAGAAAAATATTGGTTAGGAACTTTGAGTCCAATAACCCGAGATTATAATTTCATGCTCCAATTTAATGAAAAATATGGAATAAATATCAAACAGTGTCCAAAATGTCTGAAAATTTACATGGCTTTCTTATTCTGTGATTATATTCATAATAAAAATTTTCAGATTTTTATACCTTCCGAAAATGATTATTTGGAATTTAAAGCCATTAAATAACTATTTTTATAAATAAATAAGGAATTGGTTCTAGCCCTTGGTATTTTACAGATTATCACATGCATGTGAGGGCTTTCAAAAGGAAAAATGTTCAAAATTTATTCAGAAGGGAAATAGGGGTATTGAACCCAAACAAGTTAAGAAATGTTGCACATTATAGTGCATGAGATGTAAATGTGGCTGAAGTTCATGAATTTGAGTAGCACATTCTGTGGGGTTTGAAGCCACGAAATTTCAGCCATCATTCACTGGATATGTTAAGTTTCTAGACTATTTTTCCCCAGATTTATGGTTGGGTTTAAGGCCACTGATCACGTAAAGTAAAAATGGTGATCACAGAAAAAGAGCTGTTCGCGCAACCATTTTGTAATAATTGCCAAAAATCCGATATTTAATCTTTTACAGTGAGACCAGTTGGGTTTGAAAGCTAACTCGTGGAACTATCCAATACAAAAAGAATATCAGGATTTGGTTAAGTAATGACCGAGTTATGGCCATTCAAATCTGAACAAAATAGTCTGGCAGATTGCATGTCTCCCCTGGTTGCTTTGAGTGCATTCTTAGGGCACTTTGACAAGAACAACATGCATGCTTCTGTTAAGGTCGGATTTCTAGCACATGCATGGAGTGAATGAGCATCCAAGATGTACTAGAAATGGTTTAAATGCTTTTGGTCATGCAAGAACACAAAAGAAATGGAGAAGAAGATGTAATACTCGGTTTTGAAGTCACATGAACACATGTGCATCTTTTTCACTCCTTGCATGGGTTTGATCCCGGATTTTCACCATCTCAAACACATGCATTGTGTTATGGTGAGAATCTACAAACCACAAGGGAAAAAGTATGGATTTCTAGCCATAGAAGGGCATAGAATCCGAAGAGTAGAGAAGAACCATGAAGACGAGGAAGTAAAATAATGAAACTATGAGGGAGGATTGTGTTGTTTACCTTGGTTTTGATCTTGAGAGAAGCAAGAACACTTCAAGACCTTCTCAATTTCGAAATTATGGCAGAGAATGGAGGATTTTTTGATGTGTAGGAGTGGTCTTGGAAGTGGGAGAGTTTTCTTGGAGAAGGAGTGTGAGATGGAGTGTGTAGGTGGTTCAAATGAGGTGTAATGATGGGTTTTAAGGCATGGGGGAGAGGGAAAAGCCTAATGGACGAAAATTTAAGAGGGATATGGTATTTTTATTGATATTTGATCAAATAATAAAAGCCTCCCTTGAATTTTTATAAATCTAGATTTTAAATTTTTATAAAACTCAAACATTTTCATAATCTCCTAAGGTTTTAATTATTGGGGTTTTGTTGAGGTATTTACACTTGGTAATGACTTCCAAAAATTATATTTGTTGACTTAATTTATATAATGATAACCTATTATTTAATTTTTATAAAAATCAATTTATCATATTTCAACAATTCTAACAAGGATTCATAATATGTGATTGTAAGAATTTGATATTCTTGGATTTTACTTTTGGTTCACATTTCGAATCACGAAGTGTATGAATTTGTCATCAACTTTATAGTTGGTTCATATTATGATCTAATTTTTGTTTATATTAGCTTGTGATACTTAACCTTGTTAAGCATTAATTTGTTCCAATATGAAATTTTTAGGGTTAATAACCTACCCTTGAGTTGTAATCTATCAAACATAGTTTTATGTTTAGACTTAAGGTCCAACTTTGGCACTTTACCACTCAGTTGGTTCCTTTACATATCAATGTGATCGTTCAATACAACTAAGGTACACTACTTGTTCCGAGGGATCTATTAAGTCACAAACCTAGTTCAACTTGTAACTATAGAGCCAAGTTAAGTGCACACAAGGAAATGACAAGGTTCTAGATGAGTATTGACCTGAGTTTTGGTGGATGTCACAGTACACACCCAAGCCCTTGATTTGAAGCATCACAGTACACTACAAAGTCTTCTGTCCCTTCGGGTAGAGAAAAGATCGGTGCACTGCACAAGGCTTGTTTGAGCGTTTGGAATGTTGTTTCGTGCTTCTCTCCCCAACTAAAAGTTACACCCTTTTGCGTCTGGGTGGTAAGCGGTTTAGCAATTCGGGAGAAATTTTAGATGAATCTGCGATACTAGCCAGCAAGACCTAAGAATTGTTGGATTTCTGTAGGTGTTTTGGGTGCTGGCCAGTTTTCAATTGCTTTGATTTTGGAAGGGTCCACGTGCATTCCTTCTGAACTGACCACGTGGCCTAGGAATTCAACCTTCCTAATCCAAAACTCGCACTTTGAAAACTTCACATAGAGTTTTTCTGTCCTAAGGGTTTGTAATACTTGACGAAGATGTTGGCCATGTTCGTCTTTGCTTCTTGAGTAGATAAGGATGTCGTCGATGAAGACTATGACGAATTTGTCCAGGAATGGACGACACACTCTGTTCATTAGATCCATGAACACAGCAGGTGCATTCGGCAATCCGAATGGTATCACTATAAACTCGTAATGACCATAACGAGTTCTAAACGCGATCTTGGGAATGTCTTCCTCCAAAATTTGTAACTGGTGATACCCGGATCTTAAGTCTATTTTCGAGAAGTAGTTCGCACCTTGAAGTTGGTCGAACAGATCGTCAATGCGAGGCAAATGATATCGATTCTTGATGGTAAGTTTATTCAGCTCGCGGTAGTCTATGCACATGCGAAATGATCCATCCTTCTTCTTTACGAAGAAAACTGGTGCTCCCTATGGTGAGAAGCTTGGTCTTATGAAACCTTTGCTAAGGAGTTCGTTAAGCTGGCTGGATAATTCTTGCATTTCAGAAGGTGCAAGACGATAAGGGGATTTGACTACAGGGGTAGCTCCAGGGATTAAGTCGATTCGGAATTCGACTTGATGTTCGGGAGGTACTCCTGGAAGATCATCGGGAAAAATATCGAGAAAGTTGCAGACGTCAGGAATGCTCGCGATATCTTTCACTTCTTGCTTTTTGTCTACGACGTGAACTAAGAATGAACAATACTCCTTGCGAAGGTTTATGTGCCTTGATGCAAGAAATGATCTGAAGGTTCGTTCCGGGTTTGTCGCCTTAGATAATAAGAGTTTCATTAGTTGGTAAGTTTAAACGAATATCTCTTTCATAACATAGGATGTCGGCATGGTTGGGGCACAACTAATCCATACCTATTATGATGTCAAAACTTTTGATAGAGACCGACATAAGGTCTATTGGAAAAGACAAGTCATTCAAGGTAAGGGTACATCCTATGTATATATCATTGGTGGATTCGGATTTCCCGTTAGCCATTTCTACTGTGAAAGTTTCATTTAGTGGTTGTGAGTTTTGATTTAGTAGATGTTTAAAAT